TCATCTGCATGACAGGAGGTTGAGCGCTCAGACGAGGAGGGGCAGTGGGGCTGCTGAACAGTGAGAAGGTTTAGGGAAGATATTTAGGAGGAGGGAAGCGTGGTGGTCTTTGTGATTGAATGTGAAGGGGACGGGAGAGTGGCTCCCAGGTTCCTGGTCAGCGAGAGGCAAGGAGAAGAGAGAGCCGGTCTGAGGGCAGGCTTGGGCGTGTTGTGTTAACGTACCTGCGGGCACACCATTGGCGGTGGGGGTGTCTAGGAGGCGTTGGCTGTGGGGTCCTGGTGCTCCCCAGGAGAGGGGGGCAGGGGGACAGCTCTCTGTGTGGTGCCTGCGTCTGGGAAGGAGCTGGAGGCTGAGAAGCATGGACGTGCTCAGGCCGCGTAGAGAGAAGAGAAAGGGCTGAATGTGCGTCGCAGAGAACACTGTAGCTAGAGCACAACCAGGAGAAGGGATGCGAGGATGCCGAAGGGCGTGGCCGAGAGTCTGGGAGGACAGTCAGGTCAACCTTTCCGGCCAGCGGCAGACTTTCGAGAAGTGGACCCAGTTAAAAATGCAGCCCTAGCCGGCTTGGCCCAGTGGATAGAGCATTGGCCTGCGGACCGAAGGGTCCTGGGTTCGATACCGTTCAAGGGCACATGCCTGGGTTGTGGGCTTGATCTGCAGTAGGAGGCATGCAGGAAGCAGCTGATCAATGATCCTCTCTCATCATTGACGTTTCTCTCTCTCCCCCTCCCTTCCTCTCGGAAATCAATAAAAATATATTTGAAAAAAAATGCAGTGCTCGGAATCGGGCGTGACGGGCTTGGGGAGGACCTGTCAGTGGCCGTTGGCTGTGGGAGGTGGTGGGGGCTCGCGGATAGAGAGACCAGCAGGCTCTCTCTATTGTGTGAACTCCCTGTGGATTCACCGCCTCTGGCTTATCCTCTGTGGATGACTAAAGCACATCGGAGCACTTCCACCAGAATCTCGGGACGATGCCCGGGTCTGATGGTTTTCTAGGTGCTGGGCAGCAGGTCCCGGCCGTGGGCAGTGTGGCCAGAGCAGGCCCGCCCCCCCGCCCCCCCGCAGCCGCTCCCAAGGGACGGTTTCAGGGTTCAGGGAGCTCCGAGGTTTCCAGGCTCCTGGCAAGTTCTGGACTGAGTGCCCAGAAGGTGGAAGGAGCCATTTTTCTCTTATGTAATAAATCACCAAAAATGTAATCTTTGCCGTTTTACCCACAAGTTTATGCTGAGGTCGAGGCCTTTGTAAAGGCCTCTGTCACACACGCTTTTTATGTCTTTGTGTTGAAAAATGTCCGCAGCATTTGCGGCCGACCTTTGAAGAGCCGTCTCGCTTGGAGCTGGCGGACGCGGTGTAAACACACGACCCCGCCCGAGTGTTGGAACCGTGCACAGCAAAGACGTTTCTTAAAGGAGGGAAATGCTTGTAGACCGCGTGTGTATTTTAGGGTAGTTTAGTTTCATGCGGTTTTCCGTTCTGGGGATCCTTCCCCCCTCTCTGCTCTCTCCTGCGTTTCCCCGCAGGCGTCTCCCGGTAGGAATTCTGCACGTCTGGCCCTGCTCTGTGCTCTCTGCTGTCTGGGCCTCGTTTCCTCCCCATCTTTGGACGGAGTCTGTGGGGTCATGGTGGAGGGTGCGTGGGCTTCGAGGGGCAGAGCAGGCTTCGCGTGGAGCGATGAGGATGGAGAGCAGCTCCCCGGAGCTTGGGGTTATGGCCAAGGGCGCGCTGCCCTAGACAGGTAATGGCGCACCTGCAAGGCTGTAAGCGGTAGGAAGAGTGGAGTTGCCACAGGTAATTTACCCTCATGGTTTAATAGACTTTATTTTTTAGAGCAGTTTTAGGTTCACAGCAACCTGGAGTGGAAGGTAGAGATTCCCCATGTGCACCCCCGCTTCCGCCCGGCACAGCCTCCCCGATTTGCAGCATCACTCACCAGACGGTACATTTGTTACAGCCGACGAGCCGATATTGACACATCACCACCACCCAGAGGTGGTCGTCTGCATCGGGGTTCGCTCTTGGTGGTGTTCGTGTACATTCTGTGAGCTTGGACAATGTACATGACCTGTACCCATCATTACAGAATAGTTTCACTGCCCTCACAGTCCTCTGTGCTCTGCCCTTCCTTCCCTACCCTTTCCTTCCCTCGCCAACCCCTGGCAACCACTCACTCTTTTCCTGTCTCCATACTTTTGTCTTTTCCAGGAGGTTATATGGTTAGACAGGGGTAGGCAAACTTTTTGACTCAAGGGCCACAATGGGTTCTTAAACTGGACCGGAGGGCCGGAACAAAAGCATGGATGGAGTGTTTGTGTGAACTAATATAAATTCAAAGTAAACATCATTACATAAAAGGGTACAGTCTTTTTTTTTCAATAGTTTTATTCATTTCAAACGGATGGATCCGGCCCGCGGGCCGTAGTTTGCCCACGGCTGGGTTAGAATCACATAGTATGTAGCCTTTCCCCCTTGATTTTTAGCTTTCCTGGTATAGCGGATTCTTTACAAAGCATTTTGATATTTCCCCAAGAGCTTCTTTGTTTACTGAGAGTTTTATTAGTGTCAGATTCAAATACTGAATAATTAGTTTTGTTTAAAAAAGAACTGTTATTCTGTAAGGGCAGTTCAGGGCACCTTAGCGACTAATTGGCTAGTGTTTTTCACAGTCTCACTGTACCTCACAGGAGAGGAGAACTGTGGTCTGTAAACACGGTGACGACAGCAGGTAGGAGATGAGTAGTTTGGGGCACGTCGGGTGTATATGACCGTGATGTTAACACTCCATACATTTCATTAAACCTTTATTTTAACAATTTAAAACATAGGCATTCAAGAGATATTTCCAGACGTTAAAGAGGTCATGTGAGTGAGGAGTGGAATGGAGTCCTGAAGTTCTTATTTTAGCCCTAGCTCTGCAGTCAGCTGCGTGACATGGACTTCAGTTCTTTGAACTTTATTCTCTCTCTTTTTTTTTTGTTAATCCTCATCTGAAGATATTTTCCATTGATTTTAAGAGCGAGTGGGAGAGAGAGGGAAAGACAGAGACACTTCGATGTGAGACAGACACATCGACTGGCTGCTTCCTGCACACGCCCCAACCAGGGCCTCAGGGATCCAGCCTGAAACTGAGGTTTGTGCTCTTTGCCTGAATCGAACCTGGGACCCTTCAGTCCCTGGACTGGCGCTCTATCCACTGAGCCACACTGGCTAGGGCTGAACTTCATCCTCTTTTGGGAGAACGGAGGTATGTACTCCATAGGTTATGTTTGAGGACAGTATGAGCTGTTTGTAAGAATCCTATGTTAGTGTAACCCATTGTAAAGAAATGTAAGCAATTATTTGGTTAACGAGTCATACTTGGTTACTGTCTTCAACTCTAAAATTTAAAAACATTTTTTTTTGTGTGTAGACAAGTAATTAAGGGAAGTAATGATTTGGGGTTAATAAGGCAACATAGGAAGTCCTCACTTACCATCTTTGGTAGATTTCTGGAACTGAGTCGAACCATGTAAAATGAAACCGATTTTATGAAAGACTAATTGATACTCGGCATCTCACCAATGTCATAATGAAACAACATTGAACAAAATGTTGTGCGAGGACCTGTTGTCCTGCTGAAAAGGTTAGTT